CGGATGGATTTACCGTCGATGTGATAACATTGAAACGGGATGTCGGAGCAGGAGGCGGTACTAGGAGAGTAATCAACGCTGAGATTGACCAGCTTCGAAAACGATCAATTATCTTCATACCAAGAGATGATATTGGGCTATGTTGTGCAAAGGCTATAGTCAGGGCAATTGCTTTGAATGATGGGGATACAAGATCCACAAATGCTTTCCGCAACGCATGTCGTCCAGCGTTAATGATGAGGGCAAAACAATTACATGAAGATGCCGATGTTCCACTAGGTCCATGCACATATTCTGAAATTGCAAGGTTTGAGGAATTTTTAGATACACAAATAGTGGTGTTTTCCTCCACAAATGGAAACGGGGTAAGTTTTTTAACTATAATTTAATCATACAAAATTATTAGTTACATGCTTGTTTCTTCGTAATATTTAGATATTGTTTTTTCTTCTTCTAAATTTGATATCAAAAAAAGAAAGATTAGCTTTTCTTTAAAATTTTAAGAATATACTTTATTATATTGATTTCTTCGATTTCGACTTCAATGAATTTAAACTGTTGTTTAAATAAAATTTTCTATTTATTTTACTTAATAAAATTTTCTATTTATTTTACTTAATAAAATTTTCTATATAATTTTCTATTTATTAATTTTCTAAGTTTTTTCTATTTTGACTGTTTTATGATCAACTTATTATTTTATTTATTTAATTAAAGAAAATAGACCTAGTAGCATTAATTAACATTTAAAGGAGAAAAAAAGTAATTTTTTTTTGCCGTGTTATTTTTTTTTTTATGTTAACAATATCTTTTTTTTTTATGAGAAATAAATATTTCAACTGTTCTCATATAATTTTCAGCTATCGTACAAGAGTGATACTCCAAGGCGGAAACGAATTAACTTATGGTTACATAAGGAGCATTATAGTCCTATTACAACCATGACAGGGTTCTATGCGTCCAATTTTTACTGTATCGGATGCGAGAAGGCTTATGATCACGAGGAAAATCACACTTGCAAATATGTTTGCCCCGTTTGCCGAAAACTAGAGTGCCAACCTACACAAAATCCTAAAAGATGCAAGGACTGCGACCGATTGTGTAGATCTGAACAGTGTTATGATTCCCACAAAGCGAAACAGAATAGGCAAAAATTTTCCATTTGCGATAAAGTAAGATTGATATTTTTTAATCTATTTTTTTACCTACAATCTTAACATTTCATTATTAATATTATCTCTTTTTTAAATAACAAAATCATGCAATAACTTTTAACAATAAAACTGTCTCTCTCTGAAAAGACGTGAAAGAAAGAAAATTCATGCCTGCTGAAAAAGAAAATTTCACAATCCTCTGAAAAATGAAAAGTCAGTAAACACATGGAAAGAAAAAACAAAAATGTTTAACAAACTAATTACATTTATTCAAACAAATATATTTAAATACTTAAAAAAAATTAAAAATCATAACTACAAAAATCCTTCCTTGCAGCAGCAATGCATTCATCCAATCGAATATTTTTTAAATAGTTCTCACTTAAAAAGTCAATTAATGGTTCTTGGTCTGGGAACAACTTGTGATTATCAACAAGTTCTAGTTCAAAGTCTCTGGCTAATGCCACAACATTGAGATACATACAAGACTCATTAAAGTCTCTGATGGAGACTAAGTCAGAGATTTCAATCTCTTCTCCGCAAATTCGCATAGGTGGGCTAAGACCTTTCTTTTCACCTATGTGTTTGTACAACACTATGGCAAAACAACGATTCATATCACCCTCTGCTTCTTCATAGCGGGCACTGTTGGGTTTCTCCATTGGCAGTACACGTTTTGACACCATTTTAAAAGTTTTTAAAAAGTCTCTGTGCTTGTACTTCAAAGTTATGTAACTGGAGATCACATTTTTGTAAACTCTACGGATGGAGTGCCATTGGGCGTGGGTGATATCCAAGGGCCATTTATAAACTCGTCCACTACGGCATGTTGTCTCACGTGTCAAAGATATTCTTCCGTCTTCTGCCATGAGGAGGTAAAATTCTCTTTTGTTGTCTGGATTAACTGCCTNCCAGTTGGTCATCCGGAAATCATAACATCGGATTTTCAGGATGTAAATAATTACTTTGGGTTAATAAAATGCAAGGTCTTACCACCAAGAGGACTGTACTTACCTGTTCTGCCGTACAGATCTAATCAGAAACTGATGTTCCCGCTATGTAGAAAGTGCACTGACAATTTGGCTCAAACAGTCTGCCAGCACACAGATGAAGAACGTTCATTAATTGGAACCTGGGTATCCGAGGAGGTTAAACTTGCCATTAAAAAGGGATATAGAATCGTTAAGGTGGTTATTCAGTTTTTTTTTAATTCTTATGTTTTCAAATAATCATAAAAATGCTGTGTATGTATATTTATCTTTATTATTTCTTGCTTTTTAGATATACGAAGTCTATAACTTCAAGGAGAAATCCAACCGTCTCTTCCGTTCATATATCGATCTCTTCCTAAAGATCAAACAAGAGAGTAGTGGCTGGCCAGCAAATTGTGTGAGTCCAGAAGATAAACTACAATACATTCAAGATTATAAAAACAGAGAAGGAATAGATGTGGACCCAACAAGAATTGAAAAAAATCCTGGTCGACGGGCAGTATCCAAAGCATTTCTTAACAATTTTTGGGGAAGGTGGGTTTTCTTTTTTTTCTTTAGTTGAAAGAATGTTTTTTGAATTGTTTTTTCTCTTGTGTTACAAAAAAATTATTTTTTTCAGATGGGCAATGAACCTCTTCAAACCCCTTTTAACATACGTAAACGACCTACGTAAACGATACCTAATAAGATGCTGGCTGATTCTACGAAAAAGATATCTTTTTTGCGTGTATTTAAGTAAAATATATGTTTAATTTCAATATAATTTAACTCAAATATAATTTAAATTTTATTTTGCTTTAATTATAGGTTAAAGATATATATTTTCCAAGTTCCGAAGTTGCTGCAATACAGTGGGAAGCTGTGAAGGAATTTATCGACCAAGACACAACAACAAACATATTTATAGCGTCTTTTACAACCGCATGGGCCAGATTAAAACTCTATGAAGAGATGGATAAACTTGGTGATTCCGTCCTATACCATGACACGGATTCCATTATTTATGCAAGCACAGGAGATAATGACCCACCTTTGGAAAACTTCTTGGGCGAATTCACAGATGAGCTTGACGGAGATGTGATTACATCATTTGTTTCTGGTAAATATATTTTTAATTTCATATTTTTCAGTTATTAATATAATTACTTAGAAATTTAAAGAAGCATTGCTTTTTTTCCACAGGCGGAGCAAAAAACTACGCTTATAGAACAGCGTCGGGCAAAACATGCTGTAAAGTTAGAGGTTTCTCTTTGAATTTTAGAAACTCTGAAATCCTGAATTTCGATTCAGTTAAACATCTTGTGTGTTCTTTGGACAGAGAAACCACAATACCTCTCTGCAATCCTTCAAAAATTGTCCGCCAGCCAAAGAAGAGGAAGGTTGTGAACATGACGGAAACAAAGAAGTATCGTATGGTTTACGACAAGAGGATTATTAACGAGACTGATTACACAACTCTCCCTTATGGATTTTAAAGGATCAAAATGTCTAGTGGATGCGACCCACTCATAAAAAAAAGCGTGCCTTGTGGATGCGACCCACTCATAAAAAAGCGTGCATAGTGGATGCGACCCACTCAAAAAAAAAGCGTGCCTAGTGGCGACGCCCACTTAAAAAACCGCGGAGTGCCATAGGAGAAGGGTCCTCGTCCCGCACCCTGGAAGGTCTCCTTGAGAGGGACCTACGGATGTCTCCTTGTTTGTATTGTGTGTGTGAATGAAAAAAGAATTTAATGAAAGTCGAAAAAATACAAGTTTATATTTTAAAATCATTTATTAATACGACTAATGGTTTACAGAATATTTTAGTATTTTAGCCATCTGTTTTTTCTAGCAAACAATACTGGTGCTGCAGAAGATGATACAGGTAACAGTCTTTTATTAATGACAAATTCTTCGGGAGTT